GCCTCTTTCCCTCTTTTACGCCCATACAAACCAAACACTACTCACGCCCGGCCGTGTCCGGTCCCGCCCGCGGGATATGCCCCGCGTTTTGCCACTATGACGTGCGCGTCGCCGAACAAGGGATTGTACAGGATCCCGAAGGCCCCGGGGAGGATGTGACGCGGGCGCGGCTTATCGCGTCCAGGACTCTCTATCCAGAGCGGGACGCCGCGGCGGGGGCGGGGCGGGGAGGAGGCGGCGGCGGGACGTCATGCGGCGGTCATGGCTACGTGTGGCGCGGCGCGCAGACCATCGAAAAGTCGAGCGATGCGCCTTGGAAAATAACGACTGTTCCGTCGACCTCGCTCGCTCGCACACGGGACGCGCGGCGGGTGCGACAGAGACGGACGGGCTGCTATCGGCGACCTGACCGCGGGGTGGCGTGGCGCGGCGCGGCGCGGCGGGGTGCGCGGCGTGCAGAGCAGCGGTCCCGCGGGCCGCTACCATGAGTCTGGTTTCGGAAATCCCGCGCTTCGACTTTTTCGGCGGGCCGGGTGGGCCAGCCGCGGCGCCCTGCGGCGAGGCTTCGGCCTATACGAATTGCAATCATCGACCTCTCGCCCCTGTGTCAGCCCGGTGCGGCCAAAGGCTGCCGCCGCAGAAAACAGAGCGTTTCCTTCCCCGAACGCGCCGCCGGCCCTCCTCTACCCCCTACCCCCGCGCGGGGGTGTCGGCGCGCCCCCCTGCGCGGGCAAAGGCGAGGGGGGAGGAGTCTCCAAGTGACTTGGCAGGGCTTCCCCGCCGGCGCGGGGCAGGGCGGGCGAGGCGGGGCGCGGGGGCGGGGTGGGGAGCGGGGGCCCCAGGCCTCCTCCTGCCGCCCGACCAATAGCGGAGCAGCTGGGCCGGGCCGGCTAGGCGCCGCCACTGGAGGGGGCTCCATTCATGCCGAAGCGTAGCCTCGCCGCGCCCGTCCGTCCGCCGGCCCGTTCGAGTGTGAGGCCGAATGTGTGAGAGTGTGTGTGTGAGTGTGCCAGTCAGTCTCAGTGTGTGTGCGTGTGAATGTGTGTGTATGACGCGTCCGTGTGAGTAAGTAAAGTCATTCACTGCAGCCGGCCCGCCGCGCCGCGCCCAGGACCCCGCGGCGAACACAGTGAATGCGGCAAAAGGACTGGGAACCCGCCGCGTAGCTTCTTCAAATGGAATAATGAGAAACGCCGATAGAGTCCATAGCCGAGCCGCCTTTGGCGGGGTGGCGTGGCGGCCGGCCAGGGGGGGGCGCGCCAGGGGTGGCCGGAGCGGGGGTGGGAGGCCAAACGGCTGGGGCCACGGCGCCGCCGCCCGCCCGCCTGATGGGGCGTCGTTGGCAGCAGGCCGCCGCCGCCGCCGTGTGCGTCGCTGCGTGGGCGGCCCCGGCTGGCGGACGCGCCGCGGAAGCGGGGGTTGATTCAGCCGGAGGGTGGGGGGTGGCGCGACCCAGACGGGGGCGGCGGGGGCGGGGGAGTCTTTGCACGCGGGCGGGGGCGGTTGTTGGGATGCAAGTAAAAGCAGGGGGCGGCTGGGCGGGGCGCCCGCTGCTGGCCATGACGTGTCCCACCGCACCACCCTAGTTGTAGTGCCCGGGCGATGCGGGGGAGGGTTTGAGAAAGAGAGAGAGGGAGGGTCTGGCTGACTGGGGGAGGGAGAGTGAGAGGCGCACACACACACACACGCACGCACGGTGCTAATCCCACGACAGGTCGTCTGCCACGGCCGCAGCGGTAGGCCCCAGCGTACACGGGCTGACTCACGAGAAAGCCTACGCTTGTGCGGTGTGGGCCTTTCTCCGAGGGGATGACATGGATCGGGTGGCGCGAGGGGGCGTGGCGGGGCGTGGCGGGGCGCGGCGGGCCGCTCTCTGGGGCGCGCGGAGGGGCGTGGCGCGGCAGTGCGGGTGTGTTCCCCAGCGCCACACATGACTAACTTCCGATATACGGTCGCGACAAAACTTCCGGCGGCATGCATAGAACAGAGGTGCGGATCGCGCGGATATGACGCGGCCCTATCGCCCTACAACGGGTGCGCCATGACGGCTTCTATGAACCAGTAGTCCTCAAACTCATTGAAACTCTGCGCGGGGCGAGCCCAACCTGTCTTAGCGATCGCTCGAGCTCGAGCTATAATGACCGTACTAAGTGCTGACCGTGAGGGGTCCCCGCAGTTGTCAGTGACGACTGACCTGCTGCCGTGCTGGCTGCGAGAGGCGCCGGCGCCGCGGGGACGGCGCGGGGGGCGG